AGCCATTTTCCTGAGCACTGTTTGCTAAATAAGGTCTCCTCTACCCAGGGATTGTTACTTATGGCTTTGTCAAAGATAAGTTATTTGAGGGATCGAGTTTTTTGCTTCCGGAATCTCTGTCCTGTTCCATTGCTAATATAATCCATGTGTATGCCTATGGAAAATTCCTGGTCTTCAAAGATCATGGGGTCACCCATTCATACCTGAACTAAATATCTAATAAACTTAGTTTCTGTTCATTCCATGGGAAACTCTATACTCTCCCAGTATCTCAAAGGATTTTTACCGGGGCTAAATTTCTCCTGGTTATCTTCCATCCTTAATTATTACTTCTCCATGTTTTGAAAATATGTTATGTATCTTGTTTCCCATAGTTGACTTCTCTCCCTTTTTTGTCCTCCCTTGGTCCAATACTTTTGTTATTCAAAACAAAATAGACATCAAGCTGTTTTTTTTCTACAACAGCCTTTTGCTGAAGAAACAGAAGAGAAAACATCATCGTAAAATTTAATGTTCTTTATTGTAATTCCAAAGTTCTACTACTGCACCTAAGAAGGGATTTTGTGTTTGCTCACCTTCACATTTTGAGCTCTTGCTCTTTCTCCTTTGAGATCTTTCTGTTTTCTCTTTATTCGGGATTCAACTTCTTTTCAAATTCTCCTTGCTCAAGCTGATAGTGGCCAACTTCCAAAGTTCTATCATGTTATTATCAAGCATAATTTTGTTCTCTCTTAGATTCTCTCATTCTAGATCATGCCTAGTATATTTAGTTTTTACAAATAAAAAATTGCCCATCTAGCTGAGTTTTTAAGCAAAATGAAAATCTACTTCTGAAAGGAATACTGCTTCTTCCTCAGAATGTCAATTTGTTATCTTTACATATTTTCATTCTCCTGTTATAGTATTATCACACCCCAGCAGATTTGCAAAGTATTTAAAAGCTGTATGAAGCTATAAAAATAGCAAAGAAACATAATGAAAATACAAAATCACGATGTAGTTCTTTAAATAATGCTAATAAAATATTGTTAAATATTAATATCAAATGACTTACATAAACAGACAACTTTTGGTTTTCAAAATTTCTGTGTCTTACAATTTGGTATATTTACAGGCTGTTAAAATGCTTCACTTACTCATAAGCATTTGTATAGAAGGCAGAATTATGTCAAAATTAACACAAACACCCATACACATAAACACAAACTTATTGTTACTTAGAAGATAATGAAATTTTATCATTACGGCTTTAGGAAGGTTCTTTTAAGAGTCTATAGATACTTGCAGTTTGGAATATACACCAATTCATTTGATAACTTGCATTATCAATCTGTTAAAAGTACACTAAAACCATGGTTTTCAAACTTCTGTGTGCATAGTAATCACCTAGGAATCTTGTTAAATACAGATTCCTTCTCACGTTGGAGAGGCTGTGTGTCATGTCTCATATGTGGGTAAGGAATTCACATTTGTGTAAGTTCCCCAGGTATACTTTAGTGAATGGTAACTTTATACTACACTCATTTTCCAAGCATATGGGTGGGTAATTCGGATGGTTTCCAAGTATAAGAAGATTCAAGTTACTATATTTCAGCCACAAGTGAAGTGCCTTAAGACTCTGCTGACCTTTTCCTGACAACATAATAACTTGCTTAATGAACATAAAGATCAGGTTTTAGTAGTTCTTGTTAAGGTATTAATTATATATATTTCAAGCATACTAAATATATACGATGATTTCTAACATTTGCATAAATTAAAAACCACTTTAATATGCATCTTATATTTTCACATCATCTCAGATAATGGGGCTGGTACAATTATTTAAGACAAGTGAACACTATAGATCTCTTAATAGTTCATCAAACTCAGATAAACACTACTAGAAACCTAAATGGTCTAAAGTCATCATCTTATAACCTCATTTTACTAAGTTCTGGTGATAATTTGGTTGGTTACAATTTCCTTAGGAAAAGGGGTTAACCTTGAAAAAGGTGAGTATCCCATGCTAGATGGGGATTTATACAGCAAAGTTTGTACAACACAGGCAGATTTGGAAAATCTGCTGCTTTTGAGGGATTACAAACAAGACATCAATTGAGAGAGACAAAAGAAGCTCAGAACGTTTGCTAACACTTTGTACTGTGTGATTCACCAGTCTCCCCTTTTCATCAGGTTAATTCCTATTCATTCCCTAAATTTCAGTCCACTGACATTTTGCCAGAGATTTCTATGACCCCCTCAGTATAAATGCAGTTTCTTTCTTGATCCTTTCAAAGCAATTTTATTCTGACCCTCATTGCACTTATTACAATTGTAATTATATAATTTTTGTGTGATTAATTATTTTATGCCTATATCCTTAGTAGACTGTGATTTTTCTCAAAGGCAGGGATAGTGTTTTGTTAACTGCTTTTAAATTAAGAACCTAATCTGTCATCTGGCATTGAGAGGCATTGGATGTTTTTGTTAGAATGAATGAAAGAATGAATGAAGAGTAAGAAAATATCTGATTGGAAAGTCTCAGTGTTTTATACTGACAAGCATCAAAGTGTAATAGAAAACTGTTTTCATCTTAAGGAGGGAGGTGGCCAAGTTAAGACTGATGTTTAAAAATCAAAATATTGGGAAGTCTCACTCAATTTACTATACAAATGTAGGTGGAGAGTTTGAGACTGCAAAATTAGCTGAAGAACATTTAAAGTATAAAATAAAATTGCAGTTTAATTTAATTAAAGAGTATAAACCCCTTAATTGCCTCAGGGATAGAATTTACACACTAAAACTTTTGACATTTAACTTGTAATGCTGGAAACCTAGATGGATAATAGGAAGTGTAGTTGGTGGGTGGGAGGAGCCTGTAGGTACATACTGACAGGGGTCTAATGTGAAAAGACTTTAGATGCAATCAGAAATAAATGTGACTCCCAAATCTAATATATAGTGATGATTAGATTAAAAATTAACTTATGAATCAAGAATAACTGATACTCTAAATGATGTCATCTCAATGTATTTGTAGGGTCTTAGTGATAATCAAATATTACAACAACTGATTGATTTTAAAAACCGTGTGTTTATTTGTAGAAAGAGAAAACTGATAATATGTCTGGGAAAGTTAATTAGATCATAATGCCAAAATCTAGAGCATTTAGAAGAGGTGCATGGGAAAGCAAGTCAAAGCCATAAAAATGGCATGCCTTAGAGTACCATAGTAACTCATGTACTAGCTGGCATACTATGTAGAAAAAGTTCCATAGATGAAGGTGGTTCTTTAAGTCAGATAGTCAGAGTCTTAAGATTTTAAAATTATTTTATGTATCCCTCACACATATTGGTGGATTAAAATTCAATCAAGTACAAAAAGAGTTGGTCTCAATTTCTTCTTGAAAGCTGGCTCAACTCTTCTCAGTAGTGTGTTTGAGTAGATATTAGAGGCAACCTTGGGTTTTGGATATACCTTATTATTTACAAATAAGGGCCTTTCTCCACTTGTCTGAGACAGACTACTTCTCTTTAGTGGTTCATTTGTTTAGACATTCAAGGAAGAGTCTGTTGGTGTTGATTTCGTATGCCAAACTTGAGAGTCTTATCAGAGAATACTTATACTATGAAAAAGGGATGCGGTAGTGAGAAACGGTCAAGGTAGGTGGGAAGTGGGATTGACAGTAGTGGGAGAGGGGAGGCGGGATTAACAGTAGTGAGAAACTGGTGGGGAGGAGGGGCACACCTCATCAACAAGGGTACCTGCATAATGAACATTTATATACCTAACCCTGAATTGTACCCCATATCTTTAAAAAAATTTTTTTTAAATTAAAGAAAAAGAGAGCCTCTAGCATTGACTACAATAGTGCCATTCACTAAACAACTGGTTTTCAAGTTTTCAGGACTTTATTATTAAGAAGTATGTGATCTCAGCCTAAATAATGTTTTTCAACATATTTGTATTTGATATTTGAGAGTTTTGTAAGTGAAGGGAACAGAAACTACAGCTAAACTTGCCAGGTTATTGTCACAGGACTATCACTTTGTAGTTTATGACCTTGAAAAAGTAACTCTCTATGTCTGATATTTTTGAACTACAATACAATGTAGTAGTAGTAGTTGTAAGGAAAGGATTAATGTAAGTTAACTATATAAATTGCTTTCAAGAGTGTCTGGTACTAGTAAAAACTATTAGAGGACTTTTTACTATCCCATTTTAGAAGGTGTGTGTGTTCATTCATATATTATAAGCTGAAGAAACGAAATAAGGAGTTGAATTTTAAAAACTGCAACTTTATAATAAGTTACTCTAACACTTTGGAGTTATTTTTCAATTGTGGAAAAATGTCTTTTAATTTGTTTCTTAACCAGGTTTATCTCCTTGCAGCCCTGTCTCGTCTTCTACTTAGATTGGCTCTTTTGGACAAGTCTTTACTTTAGGTTGATATAATTTAAATGACAATATATTTTGCAGAGATTTTTATTCATGTTCATACTTCATGAAATCCAGAACATTTTATTTATAAATAGAAACCTACAGTTAAATATGGAAGACTTCCAAATTTCTATCAGTGTTTCATGTACCTTATAGTTATAGATATAAAATTTGAACTAATACATGAAGATTTCTAGGATTATAAATTGTCTGAATTTCTTTTTTTATTGTCAGTGTATTCCTTTAACAATTCCTTTGGAGTGATTTTAGTGCTCTCTTAACAGGTTATATTTTCACAAGAAACTTAATAAATTATTTCCCAACATACAGCAAAACTTTGCACCTATGTAAGCTGAAATCAGAACCTGAAGTATACTGCATGTACGCTGCACGTAAGCTTTAATTAATGCCACAGACACATCTCTTCTTTTAATTAGGTAACATCTCTAGTGAAATCTCTAACTATCCTATCATTTTTTTTATTTACAGGAATTGATGCCCTTAGTTTTGAAACAACATATATTATGGTTCAGATCACTCTGTTTTTTTTTTTTTTTTATTTCTTTTTCTTCTACAGTTTATTGCTTTTGCTTCTTTATTCTTCATCCTGGTTTCAATCACAACCTTTTGCCTGGAGACACATGAAGCTTTCAATATTGTTAAAAACAAGACAGAACCAGTCATCAATGGCACAAGTGTAGTTCTACAGTATGAAATTGAAACGGATCCTGCCTTGACATATGTAGAAGGAGTATGTGTGGTGTGGTTTACTTTTGAATTTTTAGTTCGTATTGTTTTTTCACCCAATAAACTTGAATTCATCAAAAATCTCTTGAATATCATTGACTTTGTGGCCATTCTACCCTTCTACTTAGAAGTGGGACTCAGTGGGCTGTCATCCAAAGCTGCTAAAGATGTACTTGGCTTCCTCAGGGTAGTAAGGTTTGTGAGGATCCTAAGAATCTTCAAGCTCACTCGCCATTTTGTAGGCCTGAGGGTGCTTGGACATACTCTGCGAGCTAGTACTAATGAATTTTTGCTGCTGATAATCTTCCTGGCTCTAGGAGTTTTGATATTTGCTACCATGATCTACTATGCCGAGAGAGTGGGAGCTCAACCTAACGACCCTTCAGCTAGTGAGCACACGCAGTTCAAAAACATTCCCATCGGGTTTTGGTGGGCTGTGGTGACCATGACTACCCTGGGCTATGGGGATATGTATCCCCAGACGTGGTCAGGGATGCTGGTGGGAGCCCTGTGTGCTCTGGCTGGAGTGCTGACAATAGCCATGCCGGTGCCTGTCATTGTCAACAATTTTGGAATGTACTACTCCTTGGCAATGGCGAAGCAGAAACTTCCAAGAAAAAGAAAGAAGCACATTCCTCCTGCCCCTCAGGCAAGCTCACCTACCTTTTGCAAGACAGAATTAAATATGGCCTGCAACAGTACACAGGGTGACACGTGCCTGGGCAAAGACAATCGACTTCTGGAACATAACAGATCAGGTAAGGCACAACTTCAAACGCATGTTATTAAATGCTTTATAGACCAGTATGTTCCTTAGGCAGAAGGTAGCCATTCTCATTTTCTGCAAATTTTCATCAGTTTTCAGTCCTACACTTTCACAAAACATGTGTTTGTGTCAGGCTTACAGATAGCTAGACCTTAGCATTTCTAAATGAACCCCAAATAGAAGTCTGCATAGCTGGTCTATAGAGTTTTCCTGCTTTAGTGGGAATGCCCTTTGCTGATGGTGCCAATATTTTCTTTTGCCTGTTTGTTGCTTTTGTGCCAATGTTTCTTTGTTTCCCTGCACGATGTGATGGTATGATACTGGCTATTTTCCATCTTTCATTTTCAAAATGTTGATCTCCATATTGTTTGGCTTGGTGTGTTTGTCTCAGTTTTATCTTTACCACACGGTGCCATGCATCTCAACCTACTTCACAAGAAACAGTTATTTAAGAAGAATGGATGCTTGCATTTCAAAGGCCTAAACACCAAACAGGTGATATGGAAGATAACTCTTTTGATAACAAAGGTCTTCCCTAATGATATCGTGGAGAATTGATTAAATTTTCATTGTTTTTAAAGTAGGTAGGGTATCTCAATATAACCCTTTTGGTGAGGCAAGATACCATGTAATATAATCAACCCATTACTATTCAGGGAATAGATAATCTGCTTTGGTTACCCAATGGCAAAGTTGAATTTCTTTGTGGATTTCCCTTTTATGTGCCATGTATTGGGCTTTGCTGTCTCCTGGAACTGAATGTTGAATGATTTACTGCTTGAGATTAGCTAAATCTCTGTTCCCTTCCATTGCCATAGGTAGTCTAGAATTAATTGACTGTTAATTGATATTCAGTTTGCCAAAGTGATTATTAATAGTGTCATCTCTTGCCTACTAAATTTGGTACAGATGAAATATTTTGAGTAATAAACAATTTAATTAGCTTTTACCTGACTATTAAAATTTAAGGTAAATGAATTCCCTGAAACTTAGATATATTTTATCTTTTCCTTGTAGAAAATGATTTACAATAATCTCATGTGAATAATTTTGCATAATATAGAAATTACATCAATTAACAAAGAAAACAAACAAAAAAAGCAGGTGTCATTTTTATAGATCTCTCCTTAGCTTCTAAAAGTTTTCACGAGGTAAATGGGAAAAATAATTGTGACTGAAACTGGACTTCTTTATATATTTTATTTACCATTCTTATGTTCATTTAGTAGATTGCTCTACACATTTTGTTCCTATAGAACTAAAAACTGTGAAGGATGTCTTTATGAAAGTTAGAGTTTAGTTGAAGTTATTGCTCTCGTCAGACTGTCCTCAGAGTATCTACGCAAAGCCCCTAAGAAGGGCATGGAAAAAGAGGACACACTCTCATCCTGGGTAAACATTGAAATAACAAGCTAGTATCTAGGCTAATAGGATGTGAAAGTCTTTGGCAAGGATACAGAAGTAAACAGATAGTTATTTCAAGGACATTTGGAGAAGTTGACCTTGTTCCATTGCATGCTTTCATATATTTTGCCGCTTCAAAATAGAATACCTGGACAAAAAGTTTGTATGTTTTAGAATTATATTTATTAAGAGTTTAGAGAAAATACTTTAGAGATGAATAAAAACATATCTCTTAAAGAACTGCAGAAGCAAATATTTACTTAAGAATTTTTTCCTTAAATAGGCTCCACTTTTAAAGATTTCTAGTCAGAGTAACTAGATAGTATGTCAAAAATTATAAGATAATTTGTGTGCTGCTTCATTATAACACTTATTCTGAGCTCATATGAGTTGTCTGAAAGTCAGTTTCCTATTAGGTACAATCCAAAAAGGAATTAAAATATCCCAAGGAACATTTCTATCCTTTTCAATACATTTCCACTCTACTCCATGTAATTTTTTGTGTACAGCGATAATAATTATTTTCCTTATTTTGATGTGATTCTTGTGTTTTGTATATTGAGTGACTGGACTATGGACATTTTGTGTAAACTCTTTGTACTGTCTCATTTCCTCATTCATCACTGTTTGTCAATGGGCATGGTGCTGTGACCAGTGTTATCAGGTGACGACAGTACAGGAAGTGAACCGCCATTATCACCCCCAGAAAGGCTCCCCATCAGACGTTCTAGTACCAGAGACAAAAACAGAAGAGGGGAAACATGTTTCCTACTGACTACAGGTGATTACACGTGTGCTTCTGATGGAGGGATCAGGAAAGGTAGGCGTGCATTTAATCAGATTATAAGAGATGGCTTAGCGATTAACTGTTGGAAAATATATGGAGTAATGTAAAACACACATTCATCATTTTCTAGGAAAGACTGCATGCTGTGTTCCTGTCCTCTATCCATCACATCTTCTCCTCTAAGAAACATTTAAAAATACGTAATAACATGCATGATTGTCTTATCTAAAAGACCTTTTTTCCCTTTTTTCTTTCTTTCTTTCTTTCTTTCTTTCTTTCTTTCTTTCTTTCTTTCTTTCTTTCTTTTCATTTGCCATTTTCTCTTTGGGCAGAATTGGAATGAAATATGTAAATATTAAATCACTCAGCCAATTACTTTAATATAATGTACTCAGCAGTCTTTAAAAGTTATCTTTTTCACTACAACAAATAAAACTCACTAATTGTCTCTATGCATATATTTGATAAGTAATTTATGACTATAAAACAATTATAACTTTTTTCAAAGTAGAGCATTAAACACATTCTAATAAGTCTCGTGTCCATGGGCAATGTTTGCCAGTGGTTTATCTGAGTGCCTCAGGGTACAGTACAAAGATACAGGATTCTCAGCCATTTAAAAGAGTATATCTAATTCTTTAAGGCTACTTACATATTTAGCAAATGTACTTACATAATTTATCTTCAGGACCAATAATAATAATTTTAAGTTTATTACTATTTTTCAACAGACATTGAATTGTGCCTGACACACAGAAGATAATAAATATTTGTTGAATGGATAAAATTTGTTGGGCAGGCATCTTTGTTAAAGAATATAACAGAATACTGAATCTCCACTTCATCACGTGGTTCCCTTTTCCTGGAGTGTACAACTGTCTATAACTATTCCCTAGAATCTTTTTGTTGGTTCTTTGTTGTTATTATTATTATTATTATTGGTAAACTTTACAAACCTTGGGAATAATTGGAATCTTTTTCTCCTCCTTCACCTCCTTCAGAATAGTCTTGTGATAATTATAACCCACTTTTGTCAAAATGCTGGTATGCTCTTTTATTTGTTCCTACTTTGACAATTCCAGTTGCTTTATTGCCATCGTTATTTTTTACTCTTTATTGACAGAATAGGGAAAGAACTATAATGATTTCTTATGGTAATTGTCTGAATTTGAATGAAAATCCACTTCAAAACTTTCATATTAGCACAACGACACTTTAAAAATATTATGCTCATTTGTTATTCATTGCAGTTTCTATTGAATTCTTTACCATTTAAGCCTAATAAAATATTTATTTTGTGATGTTCTTTTTCTTTTAAATATCTCATTACCCATGTTGTGCTTCTTTTTGTTTCTTCTGATCACTTTAGATTGTCCTTCTCTGCCTCTAGGCCTTGAGGCTCAAAAGAGAAGACAAAGGACTCTTTTGTTCCTTCAATAAGTAATATTTTAAAAACTTCTCCATTCCAATTACTTCAATTGTGTGCATTCATTTCTTGCACCAAAATGTATTTTAATCATCTGAATAAGTTTGATTGCTCATTATTTTACACTTAAATATGTGCTAGACAAAATTTTAAATATTTGATGAAGATAGTTAATATACCCTATCATAGTACTTGAACAAAATATATGTACATGCATTACGTTACCTAATAATGTCTAACTAATGTCTATGTAGAATATGCCATTCTAAGTGCATTGCATATCTTAGCTTACTATATATGAATATTTATACCAAGATTATATGTTTAAGGATCTTTCTAGAATTTTTTTTTCATGTTTGACAATATTTTGAATTTAAATAGTCAAAGAAAATAACAAATAAGAAAAGGCTTTGCAAATTATAAAGCACTATGTAAATAAAAATATTTATTGTAAAATTGCAGTTTCATAAGCAAAGCAATTAATAAGATATTTAGTATGCATGGAAAATTTATACATGTATTTATTTTACAAATACACATTCTCTTTATTAATGAGAACACCTTTGAAAATTTATTCATTAGATTTTTATTCTTTGACAATTCTCATTATAATCAACTCTTTTTCATTCTTGTTTAATTAGTGGATAGCTATGTGTTTTTGTCTCCTAAGTCTGGTAATGCTTTTGTCTAACTTTTCTTAATCTTTTGTGTATTATCATGTCATATCTAACATGAATTTATTCATTTCTTCTCCTGTTTCCTTTTACATAAATTATAGACTTATTCTATTACTTCTCATTTATTTTCTATATAATTCTTTCATTTATCTTTCAAGTTGGTCTCTCTAGTGATATATTTTTAATGTGCAAAAATTCTTCCTTATATAAATGAAAAAATACTGTATTTCATCTGAATTATTTTTCTACCTACAAATATGAATATATTTGGGCATACATTAAGAAAACCTTAAGGATTCTCTAAAGGGGTGAACTCTCAATAGTTAGGACCCGTGTTTTTATTTATACAGTAGCTTTTAGAAAAAGATATTATGAAAACTACAACATACTCATGAACAGTTCATCATTAGGCAGTTTCAATATTGCCACAAATAAGCACATGATCTTAAGGACAATTGCATAAATGAATTGTACAAAATAAATGTTAAGTATTTATTATGTTTATTGTCATGAATTATATTTTCAGCCATTCCAGTTAAAACTTAATAACCAAAATGTTATCAAATTGTCTAATCAGAAGTGAACATATAAAGAAAAAATATATGTATATGAGTAGCATATAGTTTTACACTTGTTTTTAAATTTAAAAGGAAGCCTGTTTAAATGGACACTGAAATTATAGCCACTGAAAATAAAAGACCTATAAACAGAATAGATAACATTCATTTAAAAATAATTAAAAAAAATAACATTTAGAATGACAACGAAAGTTTACATATTACTGATATGAGCAGTATAAAACTGTCAGATTTTTACCTTTCTGGAGGTCCTGTCGAGAGTGTAAAGAACAAAGATGTAAGTTGATATGATAATTTATAATTATTATCAGACTTTGGTTCATGCATATTTACCAGTTTTCCTTTAATCAAAATCAATCAATATTTATAGTCTAGTTTACATTTTTAGGTTACACAGTCAACTTCTACTGCTTAGGATAAATTATTTTTTCTACAATTTCCAAAGTTATATTTTCAGTCTCTTTGCAGAAACACAGTAATAACTAACCCTCCACACACATGAACGTTTCTATATAGGGATACATTACCTACAATTAAAAAAATATTTAAGACATTCTTTTATTAAGTATTACATCAACCACCAGCACAGAAAGAAATATTTATGACCTGCCATGTTTTTTAGCTCAGAATACTAACAAAGCATTGGCAGAAAATTATCTCATTAGCAGAGATTATGTCCTAGAGAGTTTTACCCTCATTAACAGATATCATAAATTTCCATCCATAAAATCTCAAAGAAAATAACTACTGTGCTGAAAGCTAATGTATATATATGTTGGTGGGGAAAAGTGTTAACCATTTTTCTTTTCTACTCAGTCCAACTTTACCCTGTAATAGAGCTTTTATTGCCATCTATATATCATAGCCTCTCATAAATCAAATCATTAAATAAATCACTTTTTCTCTCCCATTGAAAGAAGGTGTGATAGCTATGGCTTCTTCCCTAGAAGTTCCATGAAAAGATAAAATTAAAGAAGTAACTGGAAGGAACATGAATAAAACCAATTTTTTTCTTATACAATCACTAAATACACTGAGGGTAAATAGAGCCCAAGATATATACTATATGGTCTAAAGTAGAAACCCTGTAATAGTTATCTACATGCCCAATTTTGGCTGTCCAAAAGGAATTTCCTTTTCTTTTTCTCTAACAGTTCTTCATTGGGGCTGTCAGAACATTCATTTCCAAAGCTTTGTAATATGACTATGTTTTTAGTCAATATTTAACTTCCTTTAAAACATTTCACTACAAAATTTCTACTAGGCATGCCCTATCCCATTTAACTGATTCTAATCTTTCATAATAAAAAATACTGTGATATATGATCCTTCCAAGGTGACCTTGACAGAGTTTCTTGAGTAGCAAAAAAAAAGAAACATAGGACTAATGTTTGTGAGAAGATCCTTTATTCTGTAAGTTTATGACTATCATAAGCAAAAAAAATCAGGATGCAAGGTAACAGAAAGAAAAAGGTGAATAAAAATCAAATTGTTCTCAACTTCTGGGTGAGAGGGTGGGGGGAGGGAGTCAGCTGAAGACATCATGTAATCAAATTCAGACTCTATTTCACTGAAATTATGACAATTTATATTTCATTCATTTTCTTTCTTTTTCTTTACTTTTTTTATCCAAGGAATTAGAAATGGGCATTCCATCCTACATCATCTGGATAATGGCACCAAATGCCATTATTTAAGAATCATCCTTTTAACCCTTTAAAGCTGGAAGATTAAATATGCTGGAAAAAGAGTTGTCCACTTAAACTTAAGCATGCTTTATTAGCTTAGTAAATAATTTTTAAAAAATAAAAGAGAAAAAACAGCTCACTTATTTCTCTTTTTTTCAGGAACATGTTCTGAAATTTAAAAACATGAATTAAGCCTATATCTTACTTAAGTTGCTTTGCCTAATTCTTAAAAGAGTTCTAGTATTTTATATGCCAAAATTACACTATTGATATCTATATCTGCAAAAAAAATTTTTTTTGAATTATTGTAACTGTAATTTGTGATAGCTGGTTTAATCTTTTGGGAATGACAACTACAGTGAGCTTCATTTTTTAAGAGTTATTAATTGTTTCAATATCAAATGCTTTGTAAAGAAATTCTTTGAGTTTGAAAATAGCACTTTTGATTACCCTGCATGGTAGTGTTTGTCTGTGTCTATTTTCTGGTTGAATTCAACTGATGTCTGTGCATTTTTTCATGAAAGGATATGAAAAATCCCGAAGCTTAAACAACATAGCGGGCTTGGCAGGCAATGCTCTGAGGCTCTCTCCAGTAACATCACCCTACAACTCTCCTTGTCCTCTGAGGCGCTCTCGATCTCCCATCCCATCTATCTTGTAAACCAAATGGCATCAGTCGGCTAAATTGTATTAATTCAAGCACTGTTTACCCCATAATGGAAATAATTTAACATAGAATTACTCCAGTCTCCATTAGTACAGTATAAATCTTGCATGATACCACTATTTGAAGTCAGAAATGCCACTTGGGTAGCTAATGAACCTTATCTGGGCTTTAAAGATTATCTAAAGTAGTCTACTACTACTCCATATTAATTGCCCTGATCTCCTTTTGCAATAAGATTACAGATAGTGTCAGATATTGGCCAGTGCACTAATACATAAACATATCTTCAGGGAGACATATTTAAAACAGTGTGCTTCCAAATGCCAACCACTTCATTGGAACTTCATTTCTTGTGACTCTAAACCATTCTGAAGATGTCTGGGATCCTATCTCGATTGCACACAACATGACTTTGGTCAGCTCATTTGCATGGACCATCTTGTCTCTATCACCTGAAAGCAATGTTGCAGAGTTTGGGGACTGTGGATAGCTCAGGATATGTGTACTTGCATCGAACCATCCTGCTGATATGAAAGCACTGGTCGACTGTTCTGCATGTTGAATTGTGGGGTAGGGAGGGCGAGTTTCTTCTGGACATTTTTTTCCTTATTCTTTGAATGAAACATTTGTTTTAAATAGTTTGATTTCTTGATTAATTTACTTTTCTTCAAAAATGCTGTATTGGAGTTCTGAATGTCTCTGGTTGTTTGCACACAGATAACTGCAAAGAGGTTGTCATTACTGGTTACACGCAAGCTGAGGCCAGATCTCTTACATAATGACTTGGGGAAGGCACAAAACATGAGAGAAAGGTAACTGCCAGCCAGGCTTGCATTGTTTAGCCAGAAATTGCTGCTTGGTACTAGATTAATTTTTTTTTTAACTCCAGGATTTGTCATTATTTTCAGAGGCAGAGTGCCAAATATCATCCAAAGCTCTCGTGTCTTTTTTTGCCTCTTTCTTTTATTTTTATTTATTAAAAATATTTATTACTTTATTTTTGTGCAAACATCAAAGGTCATTGAAGTTCACAGAAACCTTTTTTGATTAGCCTTAAATTTCCAAATCAAAGGATTAATCAGATATTCAGGCAGTGTTTAATTAGGTGCTTTGTCCTGTATGTTGTTCCTGTCTGTCTGTCTTAGATCCCTGTCTTAACTGTATATGCCATCTGTCTCCATGAAGCACAGAAATGCCTTGCTAAGGTGTTTATGATTTTAGTACTAGGTCCCTCAAACCCCCACTCCCATCCTACTTTGCTATTTGGAGCAGCCTCTCTGCTTTGTGTATAAATTAATGATGCCCTGTAGACTACCTAAGTTAATCGGCACTGTGAATCTTTTTGATAAGCAGGATTTAAGCAGCAATTTCATCGTTGTACTTGGTTGCCTGCTGCAGTGTCCATTTCTACTACCTAGCAACCAGCATTCATTACTATACTCCAATAAAATCTCTAGGGAGTCTGTTAATGCATCTCTGTGAATGCAACAGCAATGGTGTGTCTGGTTTATTGGGCATGCAAGAGAAGAAAAATGCCATAATAAAAATGGAGGAATAAATAATATTTCTAAGGCATTCAGGATCCTTGAGAATTAATTTTTAATTCTCATGTTTATTTTTTGTTAGAAAGACTATTGTCACTTTTATTATTGGCCATGAAACATGTATTACTCTATATTTTCAAGTCTAGAGCATGACCTGCATGTCAGAGATCTTGTACAGCAATGTATTTATCCAGATGTACATATCTGATATTTAGAGACACAGTCATTATTTTGATAACACCATACATAGAACATTATAATTATATACACATTTATGGTAAAAGAATTAATATGCTGTCTGGTGCTGCTGTTATTGACTACAGTGTTGTACAGAATTTATCAAGGATTTTTGACTGCTGAGAAAGGGACAGTGGAATTTAGCCATACCAAGGACTGTACTGGAAACAGACTTCTGCTGCTGAACGTTCCCTGATGTGACCCAGGTCGCACTTGGAAGAGATCTCCACGTCTTCATGAGGCATTTAAAGCTTATGAAAGAACTGTGACTGGAACTCATCTGGTGCTCCCCACATGAGTGGTCTGCTCGTAAACTGGCCAACGTCCATGAAACAACTGTAAATATCAACACGTGTGCATGGGTCAACAGCTTTTGGCAATCTCACATCAAGAGAAGTCAAATTCACGATCAATATCTCTGAAGCTTCAAGTAAGGCCCATACATCTTTGAATTATTCCTCATGGGCCCACAGTAGGTGTGCTGTGAATTATATAAGGCAGTGATACTGATGTAGTGCAGATCTGTCTTAATTTCCCTTATTTCTACTTTGTTGGTTGAGTCTATCAATATTGACTGTATCATTTTATTATGAACCACTTATGTTATCAGCTTGTCAATTATGTTGTAAAATTTTAAGTGACTATTTAGCAAAACTGACCTATTTTTAGTCACATGTTTGTTTAGTTTTGGAAATTGTTATGGTTTAAATGAAACTCACCAACAGTATGCATAGTTTAAATCTTCTGTCATTATTACCTCAATTATAAATATTACAAAAAATAAAATTCTGGCAATGAGAGTATTTTTTTATTAAATGATCAAGGAGCAATGTCAGTATATAGTAGAAGATTAATCAAATTATATCCTAAAATGTATATTTTGCTTAAAAGAGATATTCTTCAATCAATTACTTTTTTGTGAATTTTGTGGCAAATGAAGCTTGTATGTGTCTTTAAAACTGTTGTAGTTGAAACTGTATGAGAATTTTTCATCTTGCTTAATCAATATTTACATAATCTATTAGTTCCCCTGGGATTCTGAATATAACATATAACATAATTACTAACCCCTGTATTGTGGACCTTCTGTGAACATTTCAAGGTGCATGCACAACCTTGGTGATAACCCATGAAAATGTAACTAACTAAAATGATGAATAAAAGGCAAATGAACTGGGGATAAACTTGAATTCTATCTGATTAAATTATTCATATCTTTTTCTTGGCTCTTTGTGTTGCAGTTTTCTCTTCACCAATTGTATGTTTTATGGTATTACACCAGAAACTAGTTCATAATAAAGGATTTGGGCTGAAAGGATTTTAAAACACAAGTGTCTCTCACTTTCATTCAGGTCTTTGTCATATAACCAGCATTTTCCTCTTCCTTTGCTTCCTCTTGCTTTGCCTGCCTATATTTCTCTTTTAATTCTGGGATTGAAAAATTATTATTGTGGTATGTGATATTTATAACGTATTTAAGATTAATAATGAATTTTTGCTTATGCTTTCTAGTTTAACTATCACAGCAGTTATAGAGGCAAATAATTTTGTTTTCATTTTTACTGGTGATAAAGTTAAGGATTGGTGAGGCAGAACTGTTTGTTTACATTTTTGCCACAGATAATTTTCCCTGCTATAGTTTGTTTGGTTGAAACATTTAATGAGCCTTTTGTTGTAAATGTTCTATCAAAAAGATCACTCTGTCTCACCTTTGGAAAACAGAAATCTCTTTCAGCAGCATTCCATTTATATTGTCGGGATACATGTAAATTTACCCTGTAAAATTCTATTAGACTATCCAAGCATAGGAGAAGGGTGAGATAAAAGACAGAAAAAATGTTGATGAATTTAACACTTTTGTATAATTCATCAGCAAAATCTTTTCTGTGTCTAAAAATATTCAGTGTTGATTATTAAGAGACTATTAAGAAACTGAGCTCAGAAAAGGGAATCTGTCCAAATATAATTAATGTTAAAATATTTTTAACAATGTAGAAAGGATGCTGGATTTACTGTAAAAATATGTAAGAAAGGGAAAGAGTGCATTTTAATAGATAATAATTGCCATCAAATTTTGATTGAAAAATTAGGATTATATAGTCATGAATGAAAGTGAAGACATTCATTTTTTCTTTGAAATGAATCACAAGACAGACTAATAGAATAGCAACAGTGAAGCTATCTTAGAAAGACAATGAATATGTTAACAGGCTATATTACAAAGTAAGGACTTCAGAGAATTTATGACATGCTTGAAGACATTTAGAGCTAAGAGTCTATTAAAATATTAAAATCCCTAGCAGTTTAAGATGATTAAAATGTGTGATTAAAATTTTTTCTTACTGAAAAAAGTTTTCTTTTTTCCTTCCAATTTCCACTGCTAAAATTTAATTGTTTCAGTGCTTAAACATTATTAAACCACAGATACATACTTTTCTCTAACATGGGTCCAGTATCATTAATAATTATCTCAATGTTTATATATTTTTGTTTATTAGAGATAATATTTTTCATTATTGTCTAAAATTAGATACTTTAATTGAATTAGCATTGCATGATTTATTTTGTTATCACACTATCAAGTAAAAATGACTGATGACAGTATATGCAATTTGAGTGCTAAGATCTTAAAATAATATGGCCACCTCCATTGTGAATCCTAGGTAACTGGACATTCATTTTTTTTAATAGAGTTTTTTTTTAAAATCACTTTAAACTTCACAACAAAGATGGGCAGAAGAAATAGAGTTTCCATATACCCTTGCCCCAAGATATGGACAACTTCCCCTACTATGGACATCTCACACTATAGTGGTACATCTGTTGCAATAGACGAATGTATGAACCTACAATTACACATCATTGTCACTCAAAGTCCACAGTTTACATTAAGGTACACAATAGGTGGCATGCATTCTGTGGGTATTAGGAAATGTATAATTACCTGTATCCACCATTATAGTATCCTATAGAATAGTTTCACTACCCTAAAAATTCTCTGTGCTCATCCCTTCCATTCCTCTCTTCCCTTAATCCCTGGAGAAGTCTTTCTACTGTCTACATAGTTTTTTATTTTCCACAGTGCCATGTGGTTGAACTCATAAAGTATGTAGTTTTTTTGAATTGGCTTATTTTACTTAATAATATGCACTTAAGGTTTTTCCATGTGTTTTCATGACTTGATAGCTCATTTCTTTTGAGCGCTGAATATATTTCACTCTCTGGATGTACCACAATTTATCCATTCACCTACTGAAAGACATTGTATTTGCCAGAGATTTTCAGAGAAATGGAATCAATAGAATTAAGACACACATGCGCGCACACACACATACACACACACGTACACACACACGTACACACACATACACATAAACTAAAGAGATTTATTATAAAGAGTTGGTTCATATGACTAAGGCGGCTAAGAAGTACCACAATCCACTATCTGTAAGCTGGAGACCAAGGAAAACCAATTATTTGTTTTCAGTGTGAATTTGAAGGTCTGAGAATCTGGAGAACTGATGGTGTAAATTCTAGCCCAAGTTAGAACACCTGAGAACTGGAGAGTTTCTGGTGTTAATTCCATTCAAATCCAATGGCCTGAAAGACAGTAGTGCTGATGGTGTAAGTCTCAGTTCAAGGCAGGAGAAGACTGATATCCCAGGTCAAACAGTCAGAGAGAGAATTAATTCTCCCTTCTTCCTTTTTAAAATTTTTGTTCCCTTCAGGCACTCAACATATTGTATTTTGCCCACTCACAGTGGGCAAGCCAATCTGCTTTACTCAGTCTACTGATTCAAATGTTAATTTCTTCCAGAAGCTGTCTCAGAGACACACCCCAAAATAGTGTTTAATAAGATGTCTGACCCAGTCAAACTGAAACATAAAAATAAACCATCACAAATCCACCTCTTGTCAACTTGGCAACCATATGCATCTTCTTAAACCACAATTAATCTCCAAATAAAGACAATAACAAAGTCATAATTCTGCCTTATACAATGCAACTATTTTTTTAAAATGTAAAAGTGTATCAAACCCTTCCCCAGAAGAGGAGGTAAAGTCTTTGAGTAATGATTACTCTTCTATTTAGTAACCCATAATTTAAACTCTGTAATATTAAATTAATAATTCTTAACTACTACAATATAAAGTCAATACATATCAAATTGAATGATAAACAAGAGAGAGATGAAAAAGATTTTTATATACATACACTCAACATAATGCATAACAAAATATGGAGGAAATACTCATGACAATAACACTCCTGTAACTGGTCAAACAGCCATTGCAGGTATTTGTAACTACCTTCTTTCATTACTATTCTGTATTCTCTTTGCCTTCAGCAAGCACCTTGACTGGTTGTGGTTCTTTATTTGGTGGCATGATCTAAACTTTCTGGACTGGATTATTGTAGTCTCTCATTGACCTTCATCACAGGACATGGAAATATTAAGATATGCCCTAAAAGATCATCTATGCTCAAGATATATTCTTCCTTGCCAACATTGTGGAGTAATAGTCTAATTTCCCCTTGATAGTCAGGATCAATCAGCCCAGTTAGCATGTTAACTCTCTTGTCTTTTGATTTAGAGGCATATGTCCAAAATGACTGGTCAGCAGTCTTAATTTTCACTTCAGTGGAATCATAGTTTTGATTACTACTGAACGTATTTCTTTCTTTACCAGTAAAATGTCAAGACCAGGAAGGAAGAAGGTCATGGGGAACAGGAAGCAAAATGTTGCTAGTGGGTCACTAGGAATAAAAATAAGTGGTGCCACTCTCATTTCTATCCCTTGATTTCTGGACCTATGAATCTTGTATATGGGAGAAACAGCACCATAGGCTGCACACTGATTCAGAGCCTATATTGTACTCTGGGAGCCTCATTTGACTTTGCAAGGTATTGCCACCTAGCTGGTGCTGTAGCTGAGTATCCAAAAGGACATTTACCATTTCTTCACAAACCAGCTGCTTCAGTATGATAGGGAACACAGTAACACAAGTACATTCTATAAGCATGGCCCACTGCCATACTTGTGTTGCTGTGAGGCAAGTCTCTTAATCAGAAGCAACACTGTGTGGAAAACCATGCAGAGTAGTCATTCTGTAATTTCAGGGATGGTGTTTGAGTAGAAACATGGAGTGCATGGAAGGAAAATCCATATTCAGGGTAAGTCTGTATTCCAGTAAGAACTAAATACTGCGCCTTCCACGATAGAAACAGTCCAGTGTAATCAACCTGCCCCCAGGCAGCTGAATGATCATCTTAGGGAATGGTGCTTTGCTGGGGACCAGTGTTGATCTTTGTTGCTGGAAAAATTGGGCACTT